AAGGCTGGAGAGGGATGGCACGAGACAAAAGGCTTGTTCACTGTCTTCGGTCCATCCCCTCCAGGGTCCCGAGGGTTGGCCGCTGTCGGCAGACAGGCTACTGGGCTAGATGGACCTTTGGTCTGACCCAGTACGGCTATTATAAGCTCAGGGCTCAGGGTCGGGGGTCTCAGTGGACCACCTTGATTTTCATGAAAACCTGCTCCTGGGTGGCCAGGCTGGCAGCTATCCTGCCCTAGACGGCCACTTTGCCGCTTTCCTGTGCCTAATGCTGAGGTCGTGGACAAGGTCCATGATGTCTGCACTGGACCAGGCGAGTGCCCGCCTCTTGCGGTCCTGGGCAAGCTCCCGAGAGCAGCCAGCCTGGTCCTGGGAAGAGGGGGAGGTCTGGGGGGCATCGGGTGGCTGGGTCGGGCCGTGGCGCACCTGGCACGGGCACCGTAGCCAGCCCGTGCCCCTTTAAGGGCTCTGGGGCCAGGAGGGGGGCAATAGAGTTTCCCTGGTGTTGGCCAGAGTGGCCACCAGGGAAAGCTGGGGAGGGCTAGCCTCCCACTAGTTCAAATTAAGGGGCTACACACCCCTTAATTCGAACTAGTAAGTTCGAACTAGGCTTAGTCCTTGTACAATGAGGTTTACCTAGTTCGAACTAAGCGCTCCGCTAGTTCTAATTAAGTTCGAACTAGCGGAGCGCTAGTGTAGCGCCTATCAAAGTTAATTCGAACTAACATCCGTTAGTTCGAATTAACTTTGTAGTGTAGACATACCCTGAGAGACGAACTGAAGTGTAGGAGCATAAGCTTTTGTGGCCAAAGACCCACTTCATCAGATGCATGATGAAATTGCAGATCTATTAACTATGGTTTGTAACCTATCCTTTATTCCCACAGTATAAGAACTAGGGGTCACCAAATAAAATTGATAAGTGGCAGGTTTAAAACAAACAAAATAAAGTTTTTATTCATTCAGCACGCAGTCAACCTGTGGAACTCCTTGCCAGAGGATGTTTTGAAGACTAGGATTTTACCAGGGTTCAAAAGAGATCTAGATAAATCAATGTAGGTTATGTCAATCAATGGCTATTAGACAGGATGGGTAGGAATGGTGTCCCTAGCCTCTGTTTGACAGAGGCTGGAAATGGGTGACAGGAGAGGGATCACTTGATTCCCTGTTCTGTTTGCTCCCTGTGAGGCATCTGGCTTTGGCCATTGTCAGGAGGTAGGACACTGGGCTAGAAACACTGGTCTGACCTAGTCCGGCCGTTCTCATGTTCTTATGTACCTATGGGTTAGGGCTTGTGGGCCTGTGAGCTATTGATGCAGTAGAAATCTCACAGCTTTATACGC